CTTCTGTTATTTGCTGTTTTTTCTCAAGTAAAATGCATAACGATATTACAGCTTTCATTGATTTATTTCAAATTTGAAACATTGTCTAGCCTGTAAGGTAAAAAAAAAAAAAATGAACAAATTAATCGAATCATATCGTGGTGTATTCTTGAGTATCGAAAATAATCGGAAATAGATGCTTAATCGAATCACCATGATGGGTGTGATTTACACCCCTAGTAATTAATGACCATCTTTACCAGACAACATGAAGGCGGGATTAGATGTTGAAGGACAAACAACCAAACCAGCATCCTGGATCTTTACCTCTGTGATCATTTTGCAGCTTTTGCAGGGTCCTATCTGGGTGAAGAGTTGTAAAATCAAAATCTCTGTAACATCCCTGGAGAGGTTCCCCACATACCTGAGAAATAAAAGTGTGTTTATTTAGTTTTATATATTTTTTTAACAGTGTACTTCAAATACAGTAAGACTGTCATCCGAGTGAAGTGTAATTTCTTTCGATTTGAACTCAGGGAGGGTAAATTCCAGGCCTACTGCTAAAAATAGCCAATACATAGTTTATTGCTAATACATTTATTTACGTACTTATTTTCATGATTATACCGAATAAATCTATGTGCGTGAAACACTAAATGGTCATTTTCGGGTTGCTATCGATGGTCATAATGTTGAGTAGCTAAGTTAGCCACCGGGTAGACGTTAGCGAACGCTACGAAATCAACCGCTAATATTAAACACTTCATTACTCACAGTGTTCTTGGGTAGCTTTCGTCGTCCATAATTTATATCGACTATGACCTAGGCAGAAATGTCCGCTGCTTGGTTGTTAAATAACTAAAAGTATACCCTGAAACAACAACTCGTTAACTAGCTCAGAAGCTAGCTAACTCTGCTCACGTCTTACGTCACGCTACAACTTCCGGAAATTACCTTGCTGTGAAACCATAAACTTGTTTAACTTTTGGCAGTAGAAAATGCTAATTTTACAATAAACTGTGTTTCTTTAAATATGAAATTATACAAATATGAATAAAAAAACAAATTCAGGCAGAGTGAGTTAGGTAATATTTTGCCTGCAAGAAAAAATAACTCCCGGAAGAGGCCTGTGATTGTGGAAGGTGCACTTGTTTTTAACACCAGCGTTGACCGGATGATGTCGGCGACTGGAACTTCATAGATATTTCTCGAATGATACGGTATAATCTTTGACCCCTGAATAAACGAAACTATAAAAAGATAATGACACATAAATTACCGCATGATTGTGGGACTAAATTGATAAAAATATACAAATTTCATCCATTTAAATTTAAATAAACAATAATATAAACAATAATAATAATAATAACATTTTTATTATTGTTGTTGTTATTATTTTTGTTATTATTCTATTATTATTATTAGATTTTTTTATTATTGTCATAATTTTTATTACTTCTATTTTGTTATTATTATTGAGCTTACAGCCTCGATTAAAATGTTTTCATATGTGTTTTTTTTTTTTCTTGTTCTTCATTTAAATGTAAAGCCACAAATTATATTTTGTAGGTCAAAAGGTGCAGGCTATTTTGCCCTTTCAAGCAAATGCAGATTTATTGGATATAGTTTACAAAATAGACAGTGATTTACTGGTTTGATGTGCTGTGTCTTTATTTTCAGCTAAAAGTCAAGTTCGTTCAAACAGCAGGTTTGAGCAAACTCAGACTTGATATAGTTAAGGTGAAGAGGGGGTAATGCTTGAGAACTTGAGGGGCTCTTTGCAGATAATTCATGACTTTTTTCCCTGCCAAATTCAATCAGTTTTTAGTTGTTTTTTCTTTCGTTTTGTATTTCTTTGTGAGGGTGTTGCTTTTTTCCCATTACGTTTCATAATAAAAATTCCAAATGACCTACATTACAATCAAGAACTAGCTATTATTTTAATCATTCTCTTTAGGAGGGGTCCTTAATTTAAAGGGCAAAGAAATTCTAGCTGTGAAGCATGTTTCACAAGAACAATGAAAATTTATCACTCAATGTTTGCAGCAAGGGTTATCACAAAGTGAGCAAGTTTTATCAATTATCAGTACACATCTACGTACAAAAACAGATGAACCAATGTCCCCCTGAGCTATGAAACCCAGAGAAGTGTTTATTTAGGAAAAAAAATAGATTTTCCTGAATTTAAATCTTCGTAAACAGAAAATTTGATTAATCGACAAAACTGATTAATCACCCAGTCCTAGCTCTGGCAAAAAAACAGGCTTAAAATTATTTAAAAACACCAAGAGGAGCGATGTTTGGACTAATTACTAAAAATGTGTATATATAACCAAAATATTTGTGAATTGAACATGAATCAGACTTAATACATTGATTTATACTCTGAATTGCATCGAACTAAATATATCAGAGCAAGTGGATGTTCTGGACCAAATTTCCCTAGCATCCAGGGTGGGATCAGTGTTTTCTATTTTATTGTTGTTGTTTTTTTTCTTTTAAATGGGGACACAGATTAAAATAATGATGATTAAAAACCACAAAAAAATGCTATTTTTGTGGGGAACCACAAAAAATGTTAAATAAAAGTAACATTTTTAGAAATCTTAACAACAATGTTGTATTCTTTTACACAGTTAAATAAAAAAATTTAATAAAATGTTTGCATTTTAAAAGTCTTTGTTTTATTTTTTGGCAATATATAATTTACTGCAGTTGAAAAGTGTGGAAAAGGCAGGCTGGGCTATTTCTAGGTGCAAAAACCTTCCTGTAAATTGAGAAAAGGGGGGCCAAGCAAGAAAAGTTTATGAACCGCTGGATTAATGTATGGGTTAAATAGCCCCTTTAATCGTTGCAGCTCCAGGCTGCAACGATTAAAGGTCTAAAAGGGGATCCTGTCTTAATACAGCCAGAGCTAAAAGGGCAAACCTCAGTTTTTAAACCACTGATAGTAAAACTGAAGGTGAAAGTTTTTTTTTCAGGTGGGGAATGGCGGTGGTTGGAGCAGTGCGCTTGTGCAGAAGGTTGCAAGTACCTGGTTCAATCCCCACAGCCTGCACTCTGGGTCCCTGAGCAAGACCCTTAACCCCACACTGCTCCCTGGATGCCCCACAGTGGCAGCCTACTTCTCCTCGAAGGGATGGGGTAAATGCAGAGAGTTCTTCTGTTCTGACTCTTGAAGGAGACGGTCGCATCTTCCTGCACCTCCCTGCCTGTCCCTGCTTTGCTGTGTCTTGTCCTTTTCTGAGCTCTCTCTTCATATCACCCAAACTCAAAAAAAGGGATCTGGTCGCTGGTCTCTTAATGTAATTGATCAAATTTACTCAACTGGAAGACAGGGAAAAGGGGACATGTCCTGTCCTGCCGGGACATACTTCGTGGGATACGCCATGGACTCCTGGAAGGCTTGGAGGATGGCGTGTTTCATAATGTTGTCAGTGGAGGATACCGAAGATGTGTGGATTTTTGGTTCTATGATACTCGGATTTCTCCTGTTTGGATTTGGGGGATACCTGATGTATCTACAATTACAGAGGATGTCGGCGGCAATCTGGGCACTGATCAGGCTGCCCGCAGCAGTTGACGCCCTCACAAAGGCTGTGAACGAGCACGATCTGGAGATGACCGGCATGCTGGGTGAGATTTAATGCAGTATAAAGTGTGAAAGATGTTTTTTCCCCCCTATCTTCCCCAATGTGGCTCCGATCCACAGAGATAAAGGCAACACCATAGGTAACTGATTGGAACCTGGGAAGCCAGGTACGCGTGGCCTCAGTAAATCCGTTCCACCTCTCAGCCCCCCCACCCCAATGTATGCAATATATTGTGATGTTTGGTTTGTACTGAAACTGAAATCTCAATTGCAATGCAAATTGTAGTTGACAATAAAGATTGGTTGATTGATTTCGTTGCTCTGTACTTGTGACAGTGTAAAGACAAAACAAAGGTAAAACAAGGTATACAGTCAGTTATGGTTTCTATGCCAGGATTTGGTATTTACTACAGGGGCTGGGGCACATTTTACCGGGGCCCCTGTCTAGAACCAACCTCTATCAGTGCTGAGTATTGACAGATATCTGGATAGAAGTTGTACCTATTTGTTGGATAGGTGCAAAGAAATGATTGATGGCGCCCCCCAAAGTTTAATAGAGGTCTAAAATTTGTGTTGTTTCTTTTTTCCCATATTAATATTTGTTATTATTGATTTGGTGAATGATATGATCATTCTGCTTCATTCTATCTCTATTCTCCCACTGTGCAGAATCTGTTAGTTCAATCTCTAACATTATGCTCTCTCTGCTTTTTTTCATAGTAGCTTTGCCTGGTCTGTTCCTGTTTAGCTGGGATTCCATCCTGGAGAAATATCAGCTGTGCTGCTGCCATCAGCACCTTTGTTTATACATGCTGGAGATCAGCCTGTTTTTCCAGTGTAGTCCTGTTTCTCTGACCATGACTAACTGGATGTGCTCTCTTCATCCTCTGACATGGGAGCTGGCTCAGAGCTCGTCTGCCTGGCTGTGTGTTTCCTGGACGGGGCCGCCTTTTACAGCAAGCCTTCTGTCTCCTAAACCCCAGTCAGCCTCGGCAGATGGCCGCTCACTCTGAGCCTGGTTCTGCTGGAGGTCTCATCCTGTTAAATGGGAGCTTTTCCTCTCCACTGTCGCTACAAGCATGCTTAGTGTGAGGGATTGCATTCGAGTCAATGAGCCGATGCAATCAACTGGTTTTCCTTAAGATAGAACCATTTGAATCCATTTGTATGATCTGGTGAACTGTAAAGTGCCTTGAGATGACATGATGTGAATTGGCGTTATAGAAATAAACTGAAATGAATTGAATAATGATCCGTGTTTTATTATTATCTGTTTTTTTCCCAGCCACATGATGAAGATGCAGGATTATTAGCATCCCTCCTTTCCAGAATAAAGAGGAAGACTGTCATTAGAAGTGTCACCATGCCTACACTCTTTCACACCACTTACATAATTGTGAACCAAATCCAAGCAAATCCTTGGACTAATTGTATCACGTGGGACTCTGACTCCTTATAATTGGAGATTTGTTTGCAATTAAGAGAAATATTTGGAATTCCCTTTTGTTTATGTGTATTAAATAAGATCCTGGCACACATCATTCCAGCTTGCTTTGTTTATGCCAGCAAACAGCCGTATTTTCATATTTATTTTGTACAAATTAATGTTCAAGCCTTTATAATGAGATCAATTAATGGGCTTCGTCTGTGTTTGGGGTCTGAGGAGCCAGCGAGCTGCGTCCACCGCCCCCGACATTAACCCCTTGCTATTTCCAGAAACTTCCAGCCCACTTGCCTACGTCACCGGTGGGAATCTTTAAAGGGACCGTCGCCCCTATAAAATGTCTCAGCTCGCGGCAGCCAGCAGCAGCAATATGAACGCCGTGAAGACGCAGACGCATATCCCCGCCATGGCGACTAACGACAGCGAGCCTCTGCCGCTGGGCTGGGAGGTGAAGATCGACCCCCACACCGGCTGGCCCTTCTTCGTGGACCACAACAACCGAACCACCACCTGGAATGACCCGAGACACGACACCAGAAAGGTAACGGTCCGCGGATAAAGTTGCTCACTTAAAAAAAAAAAAAAAAACCGCCCAAATGCGGAATTTATACCGAGTTGCGTTTATGTGATTTCTAAAAGTTAGGAAAAAACAGATGCTGCGTTATTTTCTTATTATGACATGACTGTTGTTGCCTTTAGGCCTCGTTAGGCAGAGTCACCTCCCCCTCACTGACAGCTCATAAGCCTAATATAACAGATGACCATTCCCGTTTTATTCCCATGCCATGATCTAACACTATTATTACTCGGTGAGTCACTGGACTGCATGGAAAGGCTCGGATCCTTGTTTAAATAACGGGGTTCAGATCATAATAAACTTTTCCCTTACAAGGATTCAGTCTGCTCTGCCTTTCCTTCAGGGCTCAGGAGCCTGTATCAGACAGCAACAGGAACTGACTGACCTATAATGATGATCAAAATGATAATAATAATAAATCAGAATGCG